CAAAAACAAAGAAGAGAGACGGACTCGCGACAGAAAAGCCGATCAGCTGATCATTAAGCAGTTTCACGATTGAAGTAGCAGCAAGAAGAGGCAGTTGCTCCATATATCAGTTGATAAGCTTAACATGGGAATGCTTTACAAACAGAGATGAACTTACACACTTGCTTTACTTCTCTCTGGGATCACTTCCTCGGAGATGAAATCCTGGTTTGAGGCTACAAATACACACAGCTGCTCTATCACGTGACCACACTACTCCTACGTGCTACGGTTATGAGCCGAGTTACGCTGTGTCGCAAGTTTTGTGAGGTGCTTTTTTGATATTTAATGGATCAGATTACATTTTTTATTTCTCTCCGATATCCGATCCAGTAATTTACGTCAGTATTGGACCAATACCGATACGTAATATCGGATCGGTCCATCTCTAGTATAAAATAAGACATGCTGATTGGGTCATTCATTGGCTAATTAGGGCTAAAGTACAGCTGAGACTTATAGTTAGTTTTCAATGAGATAAAAGGTAGTGATGGTGCTAAAGTTGGGGACATCACAAAAATTTGTCAAATTTTTAAAGCGTATTAATGACTTCACCAAACCCACAAACTAGTGTCTAAGTACCTGTAACTGAGAATCCTTAAATGAATGTTTCAAATTGTAGTGCAGAGCACATACTGACACTTATGTAATGCTAATAATATGAGTAACTGACTCTCCAGGGTAAGAGGGTGGTGAGTGAGAGGCCTGAGAAGAGGCCGGGCCCTGTGGACGTCAAGAGCCCCGCCGATGATGGACATGCGAGGCGTGTGGAGTCAGCGGGGAGGGCGAAGCAGCCATCTCACATGACCAAGAGAGACTCAGCACTACAGGTCCGACTCACGCACACCGAACACTCCTGCCTGCTTCCACTCTCACTCCCTCCCCCCTCCCTTTGTTTATTCTCACATGCTGCACCGACGTGTTTTACATAGATATGAGACATGTTGTCTGGCCCATCCCCTCCATCCCTGTGATGGAGCATAATGGTTTATTGACAGGAGGTGGACCGGGCTGTGACTGACTGGTGTGAGATTAGGAAAGGAGAGGGTGGCTAATAGAGCTGTGGGTTGAACAGATGCTCTGCATAACTAAGTTTTCAACCTTTTTGAGCTGTTTTTACACACACGCTGCAGCTCTGATCTTCTCTAGATGTCACTCGACAAAGGTACGTGTGAAAAATTCAATTCGGGCAACTTCCTTGAGTAAACCGCATGAAGAATTTCCTGTCATCTCCTGCTGTGTGTTTCACGTGTGAAAGGGAAACTGAGGAATATACCTTGACCCGAATCTCCCAAAATCATCCACAGTTAACTTTTACAAGTTACTCCGGTTTGCTTGAGATGCCATATTTAATGCAGGCAGGGACTCGTGTGCCCCTGCCATCGTCTGTGAAATGCAATGTGACCTTAGCCTCCCCTCCCACCCCCCCCAGAAAGTCTGGAACAGCTGCTCTGCCTCAGTCTGAAGCCTGACGCAGACACACACACTCACAGACTGAAATAAATAAGCTGATGCACAGGCAGCTGATCCTCGCCACTGTAAACACAGACACAATCTGGTCATAGGGTGGGGGTGGGGGGGGTGGGTGGGGGTAGGGGTAAGGGTTAGGGGTTGGGGTGGGGGTTGGGGTGGGGTCAGAGGGTGGGGGTGGGGGGGGTGGGGGGGGGTTGTTACTTGGCGTCAGTCTCAAGTTTGACATGCAGAATTCTAAATTAAGACTACACGCTGATGAATCTGCGAACCGCGGAGAAGCTCAAAGCATGATACGACCGTTTCAACTCTGACAAACCCACACACACGAGCACAAAGGCAGT